TCTGCCTCAAACTGGCATCAACGCTAATGAAGTCGGACGTTTTGCAGGGCAGCGCTGGCGGACACAGAGATCCAGCAGTGCCTCCCAGAGCCAGGGTCCTGCTCAGGGCCTCAGGATGCTGGGGAGGGGGCGGCTCTGCCCTCAGGCTGGGCGAGGTGCCTGGAGTTGCCGGCTTCCTGCCCAGACCCAACAGGATCCAACAGGATCTGGGCAAGACCAGAATAAAATTCAGGATCTTGTCCTACAGCCCCACCCGTCCCGCTGCAGGTGCCGTGCAGAACTGGCCCCGTGCCACCCAGCTCGGCTCTGGCTTCAGCAGCAGAATCATCACGATGGGCCTGGGTACCTCTTGGCACCTAGACCCCTTTTTAAAAAATTTTAATTGAAATGTAGTTGACTTACAATGTTAGTTTCAGGTGTACAGCAAAGTGATTCAGCCATACACATAGATAGATAGATATTTTTTCTTTTCAGATTCTTTTCCATGACATGTTATTATAAGACACTGAATATAGTCCCCGGTGCTCTACAGGAGGTCCTTGTTGTTTACTTTATATACAGTAGTGTGCGTCTGTTAATTGCGGACCCCTTCTTAGAGTATGGTTCCTTAGATACACAGTGTCATGAAGGAGACCAGTGACATGACAGTATGATGGCCGAACTCTGTATACGACCTGTGTGTGTTCTGCACATGTGTACGACCGCATCACAAAAACCGCGGTGTTTGTGCTTCCTCATTAACATGTTAAATAAGGACCCAAATTTTGAAGTCCTGATGAACAGAAACAGTATTTCAGGATACCTGCAATAACTGCAGAGTGACTGGAAAATACCAGTGAGGGCATAGCCGAAGGAAATGCCAAATCGCAGTGAGAGACCAGAGAGAAGACAGGCGTGATGACACGGTGTCATCTCAGCTTCCAGACCCCAATCCCATCCACGGGCCCAGCTTAGGGACCTCTGGCCGAACCGGCCGCGGTCGGGGCTCAGCCTCGTTGGCGGCACCTGTCCGGATGTTGAATTTTCGCCTATCCCAAGTGCCTCTATCTTTTAATGCAAGACTGTAACTCATCAGCACTGACGGCGATGACCGTCGTACTTAAACCTAGTCCTGGGGTCTGACTGCAGAGTCCCTTTACCTGTTTCCTGCTGGTCTCCCCGCCCGCCGCCCGCCCCTGCTTCCTGCTTTTGTCAGAAGAGTCAAGATGTCCTTGTGCAAATTTTTTCTTCTAGCGGTTTGGAAGTTTTACTTCCTATTTCTATTTATCCAGCAGTTACTTATATTTTTCTAACCTGCGCGTCTGAACCTAGCTTTCCCCACCCACATCCAGAGTTAAGCAAATACCTCGGTCGTCCCTACGAACGAGACACACCACTTTCCAGTTTTACTTCCCTCCTCTCCCCTCCTCGGCCCGGGATGAGATCACCCAGATTTTCCTCCCAGACTGCTGAGAGTATTTTCCAGCCTGCGTCCCCTGATAAAAATAGTTTCGCTGGCTCCCTGTAGCCCACGTCTTCCTCTTGGATGCGTTTTCCATTTTGCTACAGTGTATAAGCTAGTAATTATTTTGGATGGTATTCGTTGGAAAGAAACTCTCCTCACACTTGGCACGCCCCCCCAAAAGTGTTTGTTTTCCCTTCCAGGCGAATGGCTGTTCGGCCCGGTGGAGAATCACAGGTTCACGTCATGTTCCCTGTGAACTGTGAGGGTGCCCCTCCGCTGTCTGGACCCAACACTGCTGACGTCTGATGGCAGGCTTAGCCCTTTCTTTCTTTTTTTTTTTTTTGAGGTAACATTTTTTTCCCCACTGGGAGCTTTTCTTTGATCCCTTTCAACTCTGTGTGCTAAAGTGTCCTTTCCCGCCCAGGGCTGTTCCCCTGTATTCTCTCCTGAAGCCTCCTTTCCTCTGCCTCTGTCCTTTGCAATTCCTTTTCACAACTGAATGCAAAAAACTGTGGGCTTATGTTGCATGTTCCTTCCCCCCTCCCTTTTTTTTTAATAGAGGTACTAGGGATTGAACCCAGGACCATGCGCTCTGCCACTGAGCCAGACCCCGCCCCCAAGTCCCATGTTTCTTAATTTTTCCTTCCTACGTTATAACTTCTGGTCTCTGACTGTGTTTTGGTGCATTCTTCAGTTGACTTTTGGAAAGTACCTCTTCAAACTTACTTTCATTTTTTTTCACTCACATTCTGGCTCTTCCCTGTCACCTCCCTAGTTTTTCCAAGCGTTTAGCTGGGGCATAACAAGGGAAGCGTGTTGTTATTTCCAGCTGGCCATATCCGTTTCCCTGCCATCCACAAGCCAACCACTAAAGCTAACACCACATATTTTAGGGTTTGGTCACACCAGCTCCCTGGGCATCCATTTCTGTTTTAGTTAGGCTGGGCGTATTAGTCAGCTGTTGCCACAGCAATGCTGCATAACAAACCACTCCAAGGTTCCATGGCTTAAACATCACTGACGCTCACCATCACTGCTCTGAGAGTGGATGTGGGGCACGTCTGGTCTGCTCCGGGGCTCCTTCACCCTCCTTGGACGGATGGCTTCCCATGAGTATGTGGTCTGCTCCCCACTCCTCCAGGAACACTGTCTTCCCATGGATGAGGCCGACCAAGTGGGCGTATGCTGAGCCTCTTCTCACCTCACTTCTGCCAACAACCCACTGGCCCAAGGGAGTCACACTGCCAAGCCCGAAGTCAGGGTGGAGAAGTATGTCCCACCTGGAGGCCATGGCAAGGAGGGAGATGTGAAATTCTACTGCAGGGGAGAGAACTGGAATCAGTGACTCAACCAAGCACAGTTCAGTTAAATTGCTCCAACGTCCAGACCCTTTGTTTCAGGTGGAACAGCCCCAACAACAGGGCAGCGGACTTCTCTCTGTACAGCACACGGCAAGGGCTCCAGTTTGACTATGGTCTCAACTCCTGTAGTTGTTCAAGGGTCCTGGCTGCAGGATGGTGACTGGCCATCCTCAACACACAGATTCCTGAGTCACTAGGGTTGTCACCGTCCAGGCCCAAATGCTTTGTCCAGGCACAGGAGAGGTGCCAGTCACACCCACTGACGTTCAGCTCACACAGCCACACCTACTTGCTAGGGAATTTGGGAGAAGGGGGTGGAAGTGCAATCTTGGCCCTGCCTCGGGTGAAGTCCTTCTTGTGTGGTGCCTGGTGCTGCTTCCTCTTCGTACGCAAGGGTCCCTGTTTGTCAGTAGTCAGTGGTCTCCAGACTGTGTGGAGGGTCCAGCTGGCTGCCAGGGGCCTCAGTGACCACTCTGGGGACATGAGACTCCCTGTTCTGCTAGGTGTTACCAACAGGATCCTTTTCTGTCCACTGCCTGCTGCTTCGCACAGCCAGGGGTGGGGCTTACCACAGATACCCCTGTGGGTCACCCCGATGGTTCCCCAGACCCCTCGGCTGCTGCCTCTACGCCACCGTCACCTGCCAGCAGTTGCTCTTCTCCAGCCAGAGCAACAGCCCCTGACCCCCAGGATTCCTGGCCCACAAGGGTGCCCTTCATGTTCTCCTGGTTATAGTGGGTTTTTCAATTTTTCTGTTATTTCCAGGCATGGAAGATGGGTACGTAGGCTGTTAGGAGTGTCTGGACCACCATCTCGATTCTCTCTCTTCGAGGCACCTAAAGCCCTTCAGTTCTCAGTCCTTAGGTGCTTAGTCCCCGAGAGCAGAATTTCCTAGGACCTGTCGGTGGGGACTGCCTGCTGCCTCCTGGTTCTTACTGGCCCCTGGGGGCCTGGCTCAGGATCCCTGTCACTCTTGGAGGGGGGAACTCCAAGGTGGAGCCTTGGAGGTCACTGTCTAGTGGCTTTAGCAATGGGAAATTGGATTGTGACTTTGGTAGCAGCAGCTCTCGTGATGTGGGGACCGAGAATCCTCAGGCCAAACCGGAAGGTCTCAGGACGTTTGTGACACGGCACCCGACTCACGTAGGATCAGCGAGCCCCTGGACGGACAGGACCCTGCAGGGAAGCCCCTTCCTGGAAGGTCTCTACGCCCCATGCTTTCAAAAAGAACCATCGCTGGTTGTTCCGCTCTGGTTTCTACTCTACCTGTGATTAAATTTTGAGCTGAGGTTTAGAAACCAAGGAAAGTTTGGAAGCCACCCTCCCTTGAGGACTGCAGCTGACCACATGATGTGGCTCCCCCTCTCATGGAATAAGACAGACCCTGTCTGCTGCTTTCAAGGAAGGTGCAGGACTGGAGTCGGCAAATTCTCCTCCAGAAGCAAGGCAGCCTGCTTTCTGTGTTTCCATTAAGGAAAAGATGGGAACTAACAATTTGGCGTCCCCAAGGCGGTTTATCACCTCCCCCCTCTCCCAAGAGGCAGCAGGGAAGCAATACAAGAGTCAGAATCCTTCTCATCCCCACAGGGTTCAAGTGAGGGCACTGGCAGAGCCTCTCGCCTTGATCCCCTCCTGCAGGTAAGCTAGGAAGAACCCCGCCTCTGGGCAGGGTGCAAAGAGTAGCAGGCGGTGCAACCCTGGCTGGCTGCGGAAGCTCCCGATCTGAGTCCCTCGGCGCCGGCTTTTCCTCTTCAGTCTGACCTAGCCCAGGGGGTCTAGGGGCCACTTCTCATTCGAGGTGCTCCTGAGGTAGCCACCAGGCAAGCACTGCCGCCCGGACTGGCCCCTGGGCCCCAACGCCATCCCATGGGAACTAGCTAGGGGCGGGGGGCGCCCCTGAGCAGCAAGCACCTCCCTCCGGGGCTCCGGGAGGCTCTCAGAGAACCCTCCTTTCTCTTCCGGTGCTGCATTTCTCTGCAAGTCCCAGAGAGATGCGACGGGCGGTTCTTAACCAAATCCCCTGGGCCCCCGAGGTCGCCACGCGGTGTCACCCCACCCCCTCCCCACTCCGGAAAGCTTTTCTGGACAGCGGAGGGCAGATTCGAAGAGCTCAGGCGGCTGGGGCGGGGAGCCACACGCTTGTGGGGCACGGGCGCAGGCCCACCAGACACCGCTCTGCAGCGCAGGATCCCCGTGCCGCGGCACCTCCCCTCACGGCCC